AATGCAAAGATGAAGAATTTACAATGACAAATGCACACAACTTGACAATTATAGGATCTAGGCTAATATAAAAATGGGGAAAGAAGTTCCATTCCCATCCCTAAAATACATCAAGAGAACATTATCAAGTGGCAGTTGTAAACAAAAGTACAGTACCAAAACATGATCTACCATTATGGTAGTAATACCTTCCTCGTCTGAAACTTGTTCTGTGTCTACCATACCCAGCACACTGTTCATCAGCACCGGAACCAACAAGGAGAATCCTTGCACTGGACTTGTACTTAATCCGTGCATGATTGTCATCATTCTCATCTCCATTTGCAACAGGCACCCATCCCTCACCACCAGAAGCAAGCCATAAAGCAATACCAATATTAAGGTCCTGAAAAGATATGTGCAAGCCAATTACATTATCATCAAATCAAAATAGTAAAGGTGTTAGGACCCAGAAATTAGAGTGAGACAGTGAGGAAATATTTGTATTATTAAGTAAACTAAAATGTATTACAAGGAAAAACCCTGGAACCCCAGAACTAAGATCCTTCAGAAGAATGCTAAAAGCACCCTATGCCCAGCAAAATCCTAAAATTACTCTCAAGTTCCTATCTGACTCCAGCCCTCATTACCACTCCCCTTACAATGATCCCCATAAAGTGTATTCTCTCTAACAACCTTGACAAATGTATAAAGTATAACAACCTAACATTTACTCCTACCCTCACTACCTCTCCCCTTATAATTATACTTTTATATTTATATTTTATATTGTAAATTTTGTTAACAGTTAAAACAATTAAATCCAAATAACATAAGTTTGATTAAAATATTCTTAAGAATGTGGCCAATTCAATAATAGTGAATGGTTCCAGTATTCAGCATTTAAAATTTTAATTGTGTAAATTAGATCCAGTGTTAAAAAGAGCAAACTTTTAATTTTTCAAACATAAGTTTCGTGCAAAAAATATACAATATTACCAAAAACACTTTAATTCAACGTCTGAATTCTGAATAAAGTAAAGACATATTTAGAACTGTAAAGAGCACGTATTGCCTACAAAGACTAAAAGCTAAACCAAAGTTAACATAATCAGTCAAATGGAATTGGCAAAAAGACAGGCATAAGCAAACTGTATGATAGATATGACTTTCTGACAAGGATATTATTCAAATCAACTTAAATATTTCGAAAGTTCATGCATATGACACAATACAGATGATAAATTAATGGTTCAAAGGATAAAACAGTACCATGAAGGTATTGGCAGGATTTATGAGTGACATAACATGACTTGTCTCAAACACCAAGTCCGACAAGTTAGCATCAATCTCCACAAGTCTCCACCTGCACTTACAATGCAAAATCACCTGAACATGAGAGATAGTATAAAGATATTTTAATACGAAAATGTGCCCAATAGCTGAATGTTCACATATATAACTATATAACAAAGTATAGTTTAATGGGGGGGAAAATATGCCAGTTACAAATACTTTCAAAAGTAGTGTAGTTGATGTTCAATGCTCTATAACAATGGAAAATGGTGATTTATTTATGGGGAAAATATGATTTTGAGAGTTCAGCCAAAATAAGTTTCTGGCTGAAATATACAATCTGATAACAAGTGAAACATTTCCCTTGTGTCCAAAGTAATACAAGTAAAATTAAATATCATTCAGCATAATCTAAAATTAATCAATATATACAACAACAACCAAGCCTTATCCCACTAGGTAAGGTTGGCTACATGCATCGAACGACGCCATAATGCTCCATCATATACTTGCATAGAAGACTTAAGTTTTTGTGTAAACCACAATTTAATATTAAAAAGGGATAAAAACGACCAATGACTATATTAAAGAAGAATTTTTACCATAAAAAAACAAGGATAGTAGAAAGTAAAAGTGTAAAACAGGCCAATGGAAAACTTTGATAGCAGTTGCATACCTTCTGCGAGGTGCAACTCTTTTTAGTTCTTTTAACCCAGCCTTGGCTGATATTCTATCAGGAGCAAACTGACCATCAAAACTTACGTTAAGTAGATCGATCTTATCTGCAATACAATAAAACATTAGACAATAACTCAGTTGATTGTTCCTAAAATAAATTCGTGTCAAGTCAACTAGTTCTCTTTATTTGTATCAACACCAACAAAGGAACCAAATTAAATTGTATCCTATAATCAGCAAAGTAAATTAAGCTTATTTGGTAGCACTCACAAATCGGATCCAGACATTGATCTAACAATGCTGCAAGAATCATAGAATCCAGGCCACCAGAGAAAAGAACTGCCACGGGAACAAAATTCTCTTGTTTGATACCAGATATCATAGCCTACATAATCAAATCCAACGAGTTCTATCATGACCGATGACAAATATAAATAATACTCGGTGACAGAAAACAAAGGCAGGTCAAAGTATAAATTCAAAAGTCTTCCAAGTTCCAAGGTACGGTACCCAACAGCGCATATTCCTATCAGTGATAAACAAATACAACAATTGTAATCCAGTTTCCATTAAATAGCACACCTGATAGATAGTGTACGATGAAGTACGTCGTAACACAGATTCCTTTAAAGCATTTAGCAAAATATGGGCCGGCATTAGAATTTCAGGTTGAGTTGAGCCTGCTTAATCAAGATAAAGATCTGTCACAGCAGAACAAGACTTAAAAGCTACAATAAAATTTCCAAATAGCATAAAGACCCGAATGAATGAGAATAGCAATTAAAGTATCAAATAACTAAATGGGGCACTTTGGAACTATTATATGGAAATTACCTATTTCACATGGAACTGCCTCCGAAGAAGCTGAATGCATATCATGACTCCTAGAAAACTTATGACGGGATATCTGCAGGTCTTCAGAATTGGGCTCAATGGAAGTTCTCTCCCACTTGATAAGTTCATTTAACATTGAGTTCGTAAATTCATATTTCTTGATCTCACCAACTAGATGTCCATTTGTATTTGAAGCATTCACATAAACATGATATATTCCACATGGTAGCTCCTCCCAATAACTAAGACAGCCCATTCCATTAGGAGTTTCATACTCTGGAGTAAAATGACATTAATAATTCCAACTGTTACAAATTTAATTTAATAATTCAAAAACTAACATAGTTAACCATTAACCATAGTTTTAAAAATGGGACCAGATCGGCAGGTTTAAGCGGGTAAAAATTAGGAAACCAGCAGAGTTTCTATCAAATCAGGAAAATATGCTTGATTTTGTGTGTATCTGCCATTTTCAGCCAGACCAGCAGTCAAACTAGCAACTTAGCCGCCTTATCAATTCATCCCTTAATCCAGGTTTACGACCATGGAAGTAACAGAAAAAGCCAAATAACGTCCAGGGATAGTAGGGAACTATATCAATGATATATTATATATAGCTGGTCCATGCACTACATACCAGATGCCTGCTGACTCGGAGAAACAGGCGATACAGAAGAAAGCAGAAAGGTTGGGTCATCTTCTGTAGGCCAGTGAACAAGGAGGCTCCGCCTACCAAATGCATCCCGGCCAAACCAAAGTGTATTTGAACTACCCTACAAAAGACAAAGAAAACACCTTTGAGACCATGTGGAAGGAAAAGATAGTGCACAAGGTATGGAAACTTGCAAACTTACCACTTGAAGTTACCTGCCAATAGATGATAGCCCATGGTCCTTTAATTGTAGAAAGAACATCTGATATAGAACTTTTCCCACATTGAACACAGTCACCGGTTAAAAAAGAACCACAGGAGCAACATTTTCCCAGAGCTTGCATGAGAAACTCAGCATCGTTGCAGTCACTAGCCAAGTTATGTCCTCCAAAAATCTCACCTAAATGTCAAACCAAGAAGAAGAAGAGAAATGTTAAACAACTTAAAATCTTAAATGGCTTATTAAAAGCCTAGAAAAGTGATAGATACATACAGTGAACCATAAAGACAAACAGCTGGGTATTTCACACATCAAACAAATTTTGGACATATGCTTCTAGGTTCATCTCATAATACAAATAATAAGCGCTAATGATGACCTTTTGAAAAATGTTAAGACTGTTTATTAAATATTAACCTTGTCCTCAACCTATTATGAACAATATTTCAAAGTCTGCATTCCCTTATTTAAATTGTAACACCATTCCTCTCTTTCATGGGAGAGACTTACTAACTTACTATTACCTCATTAGCCTATCTTATCAAGTTGTCATTTTTCAATGTCAATTATCCTTGTCCAGAGTTCAAAACAATGACCATTCTACATCAGGAACAACACTTAAAGTGAATATATGGTTTAGCTTGATTATTAAAGGAAACATACAATATAACTATTGCAGAACCAATATAGAATACCATTATACACAAGAACATTTCCAGATGAATCAACCAGAGGCTGAACTTGCGGGTTAATTCCCCTGAGCTGCAAAGTTGCACCGATGAAACGAAGTTCTGCCACAGCGGGTTTTCGGACGCTAAAATTGTCACATTGTCCATTATTGTCTGCGTTTCCAGAACATAACGTCATACTCTGCAACTCACGTAGCTCATCATCTTCTACAACGGATGAGATTGGATTTTTTGCTAATTCATTGTGATGCAGAAGAATTTTCTTGACGCCCAAGCTATCAGGACCCCTTCTCCGTAGAGAAGCTTTAAGATCATCTAAAGTGAACAATAACTGTAGCAAATTCAACCCAAATGAGACACGAAAAAAAACAATGACGAATTTTAATGAAGTGTTAAGAAATGGACTTACTTTGTGAGATTTGCGAGGTGAATCAGAAATGAAAGATGAAATATGAAATCGAATGCCGGAAACAATCAAAGCAATTCCACACATTTCCCTATTCCTAAATTCCTAACTTCAAAATCAGAGACAAGGAATTTGTAATTTTAGGGTTTTGACTTGCTATGAATCGGGTCAAAACAAAAACCTCGGTTGTCGTATTTAAATAGTATATTATTTAAGTATTGGTGTAAGATTCGTGCTAACATCTGAGGCTTCCGTAGCATAGTGGTAGTGCGTTCGCTTCGTAAGCGAAAGGTCGCGAGTTCGATCCTCGCCGGGAGCTTAGTTTGTTACGTTTTGATATTTGCATTGCCAATAATTTTTCAGTATTATACATTTTAAAATTTCATGTGCTTATTTTATGTTGATAGCAAAACTTCCTAAGTTATTTTGTGTAAAAAAACAATTACTATGTTATGATTAAGAGAAAAAAAAATATATGTACTCATCTATCATTCATATTTAGTGATTGTTGACTCTTCATAAAAGTTACTAAACGATATATGATATACTGATTGTGTATAAAATTTTACTAATATTGCATAAATAAAACACAATTTTATTAAATGGTTTGTTATTATTTTTAAAATTTTGAATTTTTCAATAAACATCTACTACCCTTAAACTGAAAAACTATAAACAAAAGATGTGTTGGTCTAGTGGTGTGTATGAATGGAAACAATGTGAGTCAAGTTTAAGTTTGTGTTTATCCAACCCGAACCCGAAAACTCGTTCGAAAACAATGTCAAATTCATATATATATATAACTTTTATATATTTACGTGTAATTTTATAATTTTATATATATATTGATCGAGTTTAGAGTAGGGTATCAAATGTACCAAACCAAAACTCGAAAGTTGAACTCGGGTAAAATCTGAACCCGAACCCAATCACATTAGGTTTCCCAATTAAATTCGGGTTGTGTTTAGCGTGTACCTACGAATTTATCTTTCATTGTCATCCCCAGTAGTATAAGAAAGGTAGCCGCACATTTCGAAAGAGATTAATTTCTTATCAAAAAATTAAATAGAAAGTCACACATTTCAAAAGAGATTAATTTCTTATAAAAAAATTAAATAGAAACTCTTTGTATGTTATTTAAGAGAGTCAGTAATTGGTATAGTATGTTGATAATATCTTATTATATCTCTAGATATTCTTTTTTCCTCTTATAAAAAAACCATACAATGTGAAACTATCACCCATGGCCATTTATCAAAGTCACTACGCGTTATTTTTTTTTTTGGTATTAAACTACTAACAAGAGTATCTCCTTATAAAGATGTATGAAAATTATAAAATAAAAAAAATATTCCCTCCATTATCCATTCACAACAACATAAAAAAAAATTGAAAACGCATGCGTTTGGGCTTGCTCTTATGGGTCCATATGCCACAACCACAAGTCAATAGTAATTAATAAATCGTGTTAAGAAAACCCAAAAAGAAAAACACATATAAAAATTCATTATTTATACTGTTTGAACCAAATAAATTTCACTTTACTGAAACGACATCAACTCCGAAGTTCCCAACTCTTTTTTCCTTATTCTCTCTTAGGTTTTGTTCTAATCCTCCGAGGTACTTTTATGTTCTGTTCCCTCTCTGAATCATAAAATTATGTCAAGATTCACTTTCATGTCACTTCTTATCTGTTTTCTTTTCTTTGATCCTTTTTTCTCTATCGGTTGATCTTTTTTTCTTTTAAATATTTGAGATTTAGATGAAAAGGTTTTGTTTTGATTGTGTTGGAATGATAGTTTGGCATGTTGAGATTTAGGGTTTTTTTTTTTGCAATAAAATATTATTTTCTTGTCAAAATAAAAATGAAGATCATAGGTTTTAACTTTTAATTTTTATTTTGTTTGGATTATGTTAATGTATATGCTTTATGTCAAAAACACAGATTTGTCATGTTCAATTGCATTGTGACTCTTGGGTAAACTGACTCATATTCATTTCCAACTTAGTTTGATACTAAGTCATATACATATTACTATTCGTCTAAATTCAAGCCTTTTATTTTCTCAATGAATGGCTATGCTGCTATGGCTAATTGCATTTTGATCGTGTTTTCTTTGTACGTTTTCTCCATTACGCTGCATTTATTAGGGTTCTTGGATTAACTGCTTGTCAAAAAATTGTTTATTATTTTGTGATTTTTCCTTTTAAAAGGGCTATTGGAAATATTTTGATGTGTGATTGTGGATGGTATTCACAGGAGTAATGTATTGACATGCTAAAGATTTTGTTTTTCTGCTCTTATTGTATAAATGTTTTTGTTTTGAGATGTTTGTGTTGAATGTATGTTACTTGGAATATATTTTAAATTCTGTTATAAGAGTGATTTCTTTTTTTATTTTAGGAAATAAGGATTATTTGACGTCAAGAGAGTGAAATAACCGTTATAGGCTGTCTTTTAGTTGTGTAATATCTATTATGGAGTGTTAGACGTTATATGCCATTGTTAGACTTACCCTTGTGTGTGTGTGTGTGTACGCCCTTTGTTGTCTTGTTGCAGGGATGGCGGTATCTGATGGGTCCCCTATCCCACAGATGGTTGGCAATGCTTTTGTGGAGCAGTATTACTCTATTCTGCATCAAAATCCAGACCAGGTTCACAAATTTTACCAGGAATCTAGTGTCCTAAGTCGCCCTGAAGAAGATAGTGCCTTGACAACTGTGACTACCATTGTTGTAAGTACAAGTCCACCTGTCTCTGTTGCCTGTTAAGCACAGTTTTATATATGATGAAGGATAAAAATATAAGATAATTGCAATTTATTTCTCCGTATTTGATAATGAATGCAGTGCGAGATCAATTTGGTTTTTTCCTTTGTTGGGTATTTTGTGTGCGTGTGTGTTTATATTCGACTATCATGTATTGCAAAAAATGATTCTATATCTGCTAACGATCATACTTTATTTCTGTACAGGACATTAATAAGAAGATACTTTCGCATGATTATACAAGCTTTAGGGTTGAGATTCTGAGTGCTGATGCTCAGCCTTCATACAAGGATGGAGTAATTGTTCTAGTTACCGGCTGCTTAACTGGAACTGATAATTTGAAAAGGAAGTTTACTCAGTCATTTTTCCTGGCTCCACAGGACAAAGGCTACTTTGTCTTGAATGATGTTTTTAGATATGTTGATGAGTATAATTCAGTTGATATTGAGTCTGTGCCTGCAAATGATGCTGAAGAAAGTGGTCCAGCAGCTGCTGTTATTCCAGAGCCTGGTAATTCTTTTATTTACTTATTCTGGTTTTTAATATTTTCTTATATTCCATTTACTTAGAGGGAGAGCTTGGCACAATGGTAAGGTTGTCTTAGTGACCATTAGGTCATGGGTTCAAATCCTGGAAATAGCCTCTCTGCTTGTGGGGGTAAGGCTATGTGCATCTACCTCCCAGACCACACTAAATGAGAGCCTTGTGCACTAGGCCACCCTTTTATTCCTTTTACTTGTTACTTACTTCATTCCAACCTTTTGCTTACTTCATGTTAAGAAGTATGAGTTTTAAAATTTGCTCTTGGTTGTGAGTATAGAGCCCAATCATGTTCCTGAGAGCATTCCACCTGTACCTAGTCAAACTGTTGTTGTAGACACTGACTCTACTGTCAGCAAAGAAACGAGTCCACCAAAAGAGAATGGAAAATTATCAGTTGCTGAAAAGGTGGTTCCTGTTCATCATGTGAAAGAGCCAAGCCATCAGGAACATCGCCCAACCACTGAGGAAGCTGCTTCTGCTACACAGGAGGGCCTTCCCAAGAAGTCTTTTGCATCCATTGTGAGTTTTCTTCGTTTGTTTATGTATTCATTTTTATTCTTGTGTAGTATCTTATGGTATACAAATTTTCCTTTCAGGTGAATGCATTGAAAACAAATGCTTCACCCTTCCAAGTAAGGGCTTCACCAGTGAAACCTGTAGAGCAACCACGTGTGTCTAGTGTGCCCGCACCTGAAACACTAGTGCCTAGCACTGTAATTGTATTGGAAAGTAATAATGAGAAATCAGGTGATTTTACCTGTTCCATGGATAGTTGGTTGATCATTTAAAAGTATAGTTCATTGAAAATCTGTCTCATTTAATAAAAGAAGGTTGTTCTGTAACTTGTGCTTTTCCTTCTACAGGTAAGGCTCATGCAATATTTGTTGCAAATTTGCCTATGAATGCAACAGTAGAACAACTAGAACATGTTTTCAAGGGTTTTGGGCCCATTAAACCTGATGGTATTCAAGTTAGAAGTAACAGGGTTAGTATGTTATAATCATTTTTGTGATTTAGTTTGTTAAAAGCACATGAACAGCTACAAGTATTCAAGCATTATTTTTTTCTCTTTTAGCAACAGGGATCTTGTTTTGGCTTTGTTGAATTTGAGTCTGCTACTTCAATGCAAAGAGCACTTGAGGTATGTCTCACCATTATGGATATTTATCATATTTGATTGGACAGTATGTCCCACTCTTATAAAATTGTAGATAATACATTGCATTGGACACCAAATGATTATTGGGTGTTTGAAATGGACTGCTTTGGAAGTCTTTCCACAGTCCACAATCCTTTTAGATTATTAATATTGAGGATAAACCTTGGTGTTTGTTAATGTTTCTGAGCTACTTAATTAAAGAATTATTAGGATAAGAGTTTGGGGAATTGGCAACTATGTTCTGCGGCATTGTTCATACTTCGTAGTTTTCTGAACTTAAAGTCGATTCTTTCTGAAAAATAGCCTCAATAGTTGTGTAATGTGCAGTTGCTTTGCAGTTATTCGTAGTTTTCTGAAATCAAAGATGCTGCTCTTTGTAAAGTAGCCCCAGTAGTTATTTTTATTGTTTTGTGGCATTGTGATCTTGTGGAAAACTGGAAATCCATTTCTTAGCAAGTTTCCGCTCTTCTTAGATAGTTGTCTTTTATCAGTTTTGGCTCTTTGTTTGTCCTTTTTTAACAAAAAAAATTGTGCATACTTTTTTGTTCTTGAAAATCAATACTGTGTTTATGCTGTATATGTCAGTTGTTATTTACTATATCATCTTATACTCTTGAGTCTTGACTATTGATTGTTGATATTGAGCATCTAGTGTCTTCCGTTTCATTGTTATATTTGTTTGAGATGCACATGATCCATTGAAGTTTTTGATGCATTTTGATTTTCTTATGTCGAAGTACCCTTTCTAATATATAAGAGTATACATTGCATTTTGCATGCTATGGCATCTAATCTCTATATTTACTATGTCAGGCCTCTCCTCCTGTTATGCTGGACTACCGCAAACTTTCCGTCGAAGAAAGGCGAG